GCCCTGGACTTTGTGTTCCGCACGGGAATGATCTTCTGGAGCGATGTGACCACCCAGAGTATATATAAAGCGCCGATTGACGAGGGCAGCGAAAAGACGGTTGTGCTGACAAAGTCATCGGTGACCTCGGATGGCCTGGCTGTCGATTGGATCTACAACCATGTCTACTTCACGGACACCCACAAGTGCACTATCGAGCTGACCAACTTCGAGGGCAGCATGGGCAAGGTGCTGGTGAAGGACTCCCTGGACATTCCGCGCTCCATTGCCTTGGATCCCATCGAGGGCTGGATGTACTGGTCCGACTGGGGCGCCTCTCCCCGGATCGAAAGGGCGGGCATGGATGGCTCCCACCGCACCACCATCATCAGCTATGACGTCAAGTGGCCCAATGGTATCACCCTGGACCTGGTTAAGAAGCGCATCTACTGGGTAGATGGCAAGCTCAACGTCATCTCGTCGGCGAACTATGATGGCTCGCAACGGAGCCAGGTGCTCTACTCCGGCGAATACCTGCGACATCCCTTCTCGATCACCACCTTCGAGGACTACGTCTACTGGACCGACTGGGACAAGCAGGCCGTCTTCAAGGCGAACAAGTTCACTGGAGAGGATGTGGAGCCCGTCACAGCTATGCACATGGTAAGATCTATTACCCGATGTTATCACTGGCTTATATATAAACCGACAAACGCTCCTTGCAATATTCATTCATTTATTCATTTATTTGCTTTACAGCTCCAGCATCCGATGGTGGTGCATGTGTACCATCCTTACCGCCAGCCGGACGGCGTGAATCACTGCCAGTCGGTCAATGGCCACTGCTCCCATCTCTGCCTGCCAGCGCCCAGGATCAATGAGAGGAGTCCTCGCATATCCTGCGCCTGTCCCACGGGCCTGAAGCTGATGGCCGACGGCCTCATGTGCGTCGAGGATCGTAAGTACTCGAGAACTTTCAGTAGCTCCCCTAGCCATTTTGCTTTTAGCTTAACCAGCATGGCTTTGAATTTGATTTTATGCTTACTAATGCTTACTAAACCCCCAAAACCGATTCCCCCAATCCGGCATGACTCGCATCCGCATGTAGCACTTTATTTGCCTCCAGTCACGAGACCCCCGCGCGCCCGCAAAACGAAACCGAGGCCAAAATCCCCGAGGAGGCGGCTGCCCACGGGTGTCCAAGTGGGACATGCTGACATTCGGATCGAAATTAACGATGATCTCCAGCTGAGCACCAGGCTGCCCCTGCTGCCCGCGACTTTCGGTAGGAGTGACCAACCCGTTCTGTGTCGTGTCCTTGTATGTCCGTTTGTGGTCCACCCTAAAAAGGGGTTGCCCATCTACGTGTTGTGCTCATATCGCCTCGAAAGTCATTTTGTTTTTGAAGTCTTCGTTCCACCTTTAAATATTCACTTATATTGTTCTGTCATGTATAAACTGCTTGTCAACTTAAAGTTAATTATATAATTGTAAAATAATTTGCCAATCGGCAAACGATGTCCCAAAAAACACATTCGACATCCATGCACATTAACCTCATACTGTCGCTCAACCTCAGATTTTTAACTGACAAAACAGAGTGCAGAGGACTTAATCAGCGGTACGTCAACGGAAATTTTGATAAATAAGACTGTCGAGCAGCTCGATAGTTATCCTTTCGGATGGGTTGACAACCCAGGGACTTCCCCTCAATTTATAAGTTCGACGTCTTTCCTGTCACTTTTTTCTCGATTCACGCGCACTGTTTATAAACACTTTCGTGGGATTCTGATTCAGATTTATTGCAAGCATATTAATCAAAACGCTCCCCAAGATCACCACAACGCAGCCCCTTTTGTGCGGGTGCAGCCAACCCACAGCATTGGCTTTGTCATGGCCCACATTAATCATCATCAGGAGTTCGGAAGGAGTGTATACCCATATATCCTTGACAGTTTCATAAATGCCAACGCCGCTGAGCCACTTGCATTGCCGCCAACCGCAAGTAGGCCCTCGCCTGGCCCAACACTGCAATTGAAACCTCTAAAGAGGAGCCATCAAGCACCACCCCCCTCCATTGCCATCCCGTGCCATCCAATCCTGTGCCATCAGCCCCATCCCATAATCCACAGCCGCAAAGTATGAGGTTAATATCGGGGGAGCTCGAGTGACGCCTCCAGAGGAGCGTTTGCTTTAAAGTGCGGCTCAACTTAATGTTGATAACTTTTAATGTTTTGACTAGGAAACTGAAAGAAGTCCTCCCGCGACGCCTGACAAAAAGCCCATTAAATGCGCTGCGTTAACGATGTCATTAGGTTGCCATTCCCATGCCCATGCCCACTCCACTCCCATTCCCATTGCTATTGCCATTTTCATTCCCAATCTAAATCGGCGGCAGGCCGCTTCTTTCGCATAAAAGTTTGCGCCATCAAAGGCGCGAGCGCGTTTAAGTGTTTATTTGCGCCTAAATGCGCACTTTGAGCGATTTGATTGAAAATTCCTTGGATTCTGTGGAGGAAAGTGGGAGTTTGGGGGGATTCTAAGCGGCTTGGATTTTGATGTTGATTCCCTTTTCGCTCCGCTCTTTTATTGCAATGATTTCCGTTTTCCTTTTTATACAGTTTTCCCTTTTGTTTATCATCGCCGAAGGTGAAGTAGCGTATAAGCCCTGCGACTAAAACTGTATTAAAGGGTTTGAAAAATGTCGTAGGTGGCTAGAACTTGAAATTCAGCATGTTGTGGATGGAATTGTTTAAGATACAGATTTTGTGCGGTAACTTGTGTCCTGATTAAACTCCTCTTTAGTGTTGTGTGCCAATTAATAACAATTTTCCACTTTGTGCTGCTTGTTCACAGTTTAAACTATTTAATAAAAAAAAAAAAATATTTTGTAAAAGTTTGTTACATACTTCTGTGGTTTTTGGTTTTGCATGTTTCGTAATACGTTTATAAATTAGTACGTTTATAATTAAATATGTTTATAAATTAGCGCATGTTCGTGTTGTGTTCAGTGTAAGCTACGATATGATAACTGTTTTTTGTTAGCACCCAAGTATATACTCTTGTTACAAATTTGTCTAATTCCGTACTATTTTTGCCCATAGTTGCTGACCAGCGTCCAGTGAAAAACCATACTCAAATCGAAAAGACCACAACGCCCAGTGAGCAGCCGGATTCCGGCTTTATTGCGCTGGTGGTCATAGCCAGTCTCAGTGGATTCGCTGTCCTGCTATCGGTGGTAAGTGGGCTGGTCAGAGAAGTTGGGATGACGTGGGGGTATTCAATTAACTAACCAATTTATCCGCTCTTCGGCAGCTCCTGCTCATTGGCTACCGCTACTGCAGCAAGCGACGCATCAACTCGATGAACTTCGAGAACCCCATCTACCGCAAGACCACCACCACAGAGGATCACTTCAGTTTGCGCAAAAACCTGCCGGCGCGAATCTATGACCACACCAGTGTCATGGATGAGGAGGTGGGTTCCCAATCAAATTACTTAGCCATTGAGCACTGGAAACTATAAACCACAAAGGATTAAATTTTTCTCCCTTAATACTTAAAAATTACTGAGCTTCTATTAGAATTATTATAATTTTTTGTTACTTTCTTTTACAGTACTCACCCGTCATAGGCATATCCTCGTATTAGATTGATTCCTCTGGAATCGTGTGAAATGTGGATTGGATGATTGTTGCGCCTGGTCGCTGGCAAAATTGGATGACCAATGCTAAACTCGAGACCCGCGGCAGAAACACACACGCCTGAAGACTGAGCAACTCTGTGTATTGTGTAAATTAATTATTTTAAAATTTTAAGGCACGGCAAGGACGGCGGGTCACCTTGGAGCGCATCCTTAAAGGATGCTGTACAAAATACTATGTCGCAGAGTTCTATCACAAACAAAAAACACAAAAAAAAAATAGTTACGAGAAACGTAAAGGAAAACGAGAAATCTAATTGCTAATTATAAATTACATAGTTCCAAACTGTATATAGCTGTAAGTGTGCATTATTTTTAAATGAAGCAAATTCATATTACTATACGTAAACATGTCAAAAAAGATCATTATGCTTATGGTCTACTATTAGAGCGAGTTGAGAAATTATATTTCTGTTGTCGTGGAGCAGAGTCGTTTTATTATATTAAAATTATTACTACATACGTATTAGCCTTTTGTTAACTGTATTTGTTAAGTGTACATACATATGTATATGTTTCCCCACTAAAAAGAAAATACGATGAATAATAAACTCAGAATATACTTATGTGTAGCGTACTCCTGTGATATAATTACATGACTTTATGGATGGGCTTTTACTTTGGTTTTATTCCTTAATGTGGGTGGTAAATAATTCCTACGGTTGCCAGCTATTTGCTGATTTTGCAACATTTTGTTTCATCTTCAGGTTTCATCTATTATAAATGCACATATATATCTGTACCCCGCCTGGAAGTGTACCAAAGAGGAATAATTCATCAAAGCTTTGATGATACCCAGGCTATCCAGACTAAAAGCCCTTCGTTTTCTCGAGCAACTTTGTTATTCAAATGGAAAGTATAATATGAATTGGAATTCAGAGGCACAGGTGCGCTTAAGTAAATGCTCAAATACTTATTGGCCAGTATTGATCCACGTGTGTCTACGCTACAAACCACATTACTTGTTTCAATCGAAGCCTTGACTGATTGACCCGGGCAAACAAACAATTTAGAGCTGTAATTTTAGAAATTGCTACCTCACTAATTGGATGCCGAAACGTCAAATAGTGGAACACACCTCCAAAACTGATTACACGTGCTAAGAGAGCGGCCGAAGAGAGAACCATCTGCTAGCGTTAACGTTAACGTTGTTTCAATGTCAGCTGGGTTATGGTTGCGCTAAGAGTGTTGGGAGATCGATGCTTCGAGCGCTCCCCCGATGATGACGTTCGCTCTCTTCTCTCTCGACAGGTGATATGGTACGCGTGGCGGCGATCTTCGGTTCGGAGCCGAACGAAATACGAGCACTGTCGAAGTTGCTAAATCTGTGCTATTGGTCCGCCGACTTCGACGCCGATAAGAGCAGTTTGTACTCGAAGTGCAAGTAGATAGGTCGTCGCTGGTCGCTTATCGCTCGTCCGCCCCATGCTTTGGATATAACTTTACTTAAGCGGAGCAATTCGGAATGCGAAAAAAGTTTCGGAAAACAAAAGTTCAAAGCAAATAAAAAAAGTTCAAGCCGGGGCTTTAAGGCCAGCTCATCTCATTTGTCGAGCGGAAATAAGTGTTAATTGAAAAAAATAATGTATGAATCTATTTTGGCCGAACGTTACGTCAATATGTCATGTGAAAAAACAGCATAAATTTCAGTCTCACATGTGTTTTGCCTTAAATTAAAGTAAATAAAAGATTTGGAAAACCATTCCCAACTGAAATAATGGTGTCAATGGGTAGTCGCTCCGCATGACTTACCACACTTACCTGGCTTATCACTTATTACACCGCTGATAGCGGATATATTCAAATAAACATTGGAAGGAGATGGGCATACAATAAATGACAGGGACAGCTTGAGGGCCTAACCCTTGCTTAGACCAAAGTCGTCGCCCTTAGCTTGCATTTTTTTTGTGTGTATTCCGTGTTTTCTTTGCTCTTATGCTGTTTTTTCGCCACATCGTATGATGTTTCTTCTTTCCGTCGTGGCTTTTTAAGCACGTTTATCGTACCTGCGTCTCGCACTCTCTTCCCAATACATTCGATTCATTCTCTCACTTTTGTGAACTTTTTTTTGGCAAACGTTGCGTGTATTCATTCGCCTAAACTAATTATTTAATGGACGTTGTATATAAATAAGTTGGCAAATCGAACCAGAGTGAAAAGCGTGTGTGACCCACTGAGCCTAAAGTGCAATTTCTACCGTATATATTCTAGCAGCTGCAAAAGATGGCCAAAGCCTGCATGCTGCAACTCACGGATTATTGTCAAAACACCCAGTCGGAGTTACCTACAAATGAAAGTGGCAACAGCAACAGCAACAGCAGCAGCAGCAGCAGTGGCTGTAGAGAACCGTCCAAAACAAGTGGCTTCTTCTACAGCGCCAGCACACATTACCACAGCAAAGTGCAGCAGCTGATCAGCTTCAGCTTCATCTCAACGTTCCACCTGCTCTGCATCACCTGCATTCTGGGCATCAGCAAGTTCTGCAATGCGGCGGCGATAAATGCCGCCCATGTCAGCGCTGCCACGCCCACTGCCAGCGAGATAATGCAAAATCTGACCGGATCGGCGCTGCTGGAGCGTCTGAAAGCCAGTACTCTGGTGCCCACCCTCGATCAGCTGAAGCACTTGGCTCCTGCGGCAGCCAACAGCATTAGTCCTGGGACAGGATCTGGCATGGGAATAGGAAACGGAATCGGAATGGGCCACTTTGGCAGCTCCATCAACTCGGTGCTGAACGGAAATCCCTTAAAGTTCCTGAATGTGTCGGGCAAAATCGGCACTCCTTTGGATATATGTAAGTTTCAAGCCAGTTGATTTATTCCTAATCATTATTATTGAACGGAGCTTTTTTTAGCGATAAGTCGATTAGTCACGCTTCTATAAAAAATTACCTATAAATGACTCATATACATAGGTACATAAGTATTTTGTTAAAAAATTAACATTTCTCATTTAACATTAAATTTCGTGCATTTTTGAGTAAAACAAAACTGAACAAGATATAAATGTAATGAAGCCCTAAAGAAACTAATACTTATGTTGATATTTTAACAACCAGCGTAAAAACCTCCATTATATCATAGGAAAATTCATATTTGTAACAGCAAGCTCGTATTTCTAATGACGGTCTCATTGAAATCCATTAGAAAAGCGATTTTCAACCTAAATGAAAGGTGGAAAACACCTAGATTTGGCGTTTATAATCAATCTTAGTTCCTAATCACGGTTCGACTCAATTGCATCTTCTTCGATTTCTCCGAGTGTAAGGGGAGGCGGTGTTTAGTTGGTGCCGCCGCCTCTCGGATTTCTGGCGATCATGCCACCAGCCACGGCTCCATACGTATGCATGCCCAGTTTCCAGCCCGACTCCGATTTTCGCTAAGGCTCCGACTCCGACTGACGCGGCTCAAGTTTTATTTATGTGATATTTGTTGCCAGCCGAAAGCCAAAGCGTCTGGCAATGCCAGTAAACTCCACTTCCATTTCCATGTCTCAGCATTCCACAACGTCATACGATTTCCAAACTCCAGAGCTCTTCCCCATTCTCCCCCCTACCCCTGCTCCGTGCTCTTTTTTGTCGGCATAAACCTTTTACTTTCCTCTTCTTACTCGCCTCTGCGAACACTGGAATCAAAGTTCCACCAAAGTTGGGGGAAAAAACACTCAAAAGATAAAAGGGAAAAAATAAATGGTTGCATACTGCTTGGCGTGCGACATCTGGCATATAAATAAAAATAAAAAGTAGAATTTCGAATTTAGGAATTTTCTTCCAGTGTACACTCTTTGCTGGTTCTGCTTCCCCTTGTAATTATTCCGTTTTATGCTTATTTTTTGTACCGGCCGGCTTCGCTACATGAAGCGAATGGAGCGCCACTTGAAGACTTAAACTCCGGTGCTCTCGTGAAATGCACAGAGAAAATGCCGAGAAAGAGAGAAGTGGATAGAAACCGAGTGGTAAGCGATGAAAGAAGAGAACAAAAAGAGCAACAAGTGCCCGATTCTTGGAGTTTCTTGGCCTTGCACATTGGTCCACGTTTTTTTATTTATTTTTTTCAAAACGATCCCAGCACGTGGCACTGGATATTTCTCGACTTATTTTTGTATAAGCATTTGTTGTTACCACGCTGATCTTGATATTAATTTTGATTATTACTCACGCAAAATAAAATGGTAGCATTTTAAAGCTTTGACTTATAAATCTATATAATCAAAACACATAAACAGAAGATTGACCTACGCAGTAATTTTTATTCAGTTCTAGTATTTTGAATGCGACTTTTTGTAAATGATAATGAATAGGCAAGTACTTAATTTATTTATAGCTGAATAACTAAGTTTTTGATCAAATTGTAAGCACATTGTAGCAAACTAATTCAATGGAACTTAATTAGTTCACAGGGCATATCAAAGTACTTACCATTGTGAATCATGGTGTACGTCAACATTTTTAAATTCGATATGATGAATGAATAAGAAAGGGCTTTTCATATGTTCGCAGTAGGGGAATCACAAATATTTGGACTCCAAGCAAGTTTGTTTTTAATCATTAATGAGACCTTCAACTCGGCTAAAAGCGGAGGGTAAAAACGCTTCGAGCTTATGCCAACGAATGTCAAAGGTAAAAACAAAACTATAAACGCTGGGTCATGATAATAGCCATAGCTTTAAGGTTAAAAGCAGATGATTGAAAGTGGGACTAGCGAATTATAAGCCGTTGCATCATAAGATAGCTTGCCATCAATCTATGTCAAATGGATTTTAGTGCTTTTAAATGGTTTCTGGCCGAGGACTAGACACTCCTGTGACTAAATGCATTTCCGCTGTACTTGTGACAGTTTTAATATAAACCAATAACTCAGGTGCCAAATAAATCGAGAGACAGGTCTTAATCCGATTTATAGGTCATGGCATGACAGTAATTTCCGTCCAACTAAACTTGGAGTAAGCCGAAACGAAATCATTGCAAACTACTCGGCAGGACAAAATTGACAACTCTCATTTGGCAGCAAGTTTCTGGGCACGTCCTTGACAGCTTTAATGACTGCTTTTAAACTGCGACAACGTAAGTTTCCAAGGCATCGACTTCCTGGCCGAGCTGATTTATTTCAAAATCGAATTTAAACAAGTTTGCAGGCGACGATGGCGAGGCAAAAAAAAGAAAAAAACGCCTCGTCCAGTCCCAACTTGGTCGGGACATTTATAATTAACTTGGCTAATTACGCCTGGAATTTGCACGTGCTCTCTGCAACCAACTGTCCCTGATACAAACTTAGTCCCTTAACTGGAGTCGGTTGCATTACAGCCCGTCTGCCTTAATTACAAAAACATTTGCCATTATGTATAATTATGGCGCACGAAAACAACAAAAAAAAAGATTTTCTTTTGTGCTTTTGCTGAAAACTGGTTTCCAACACCAATGGAAGCCAAATAAATGCACTGCAATTGTTCGTGCTCGAGTGACAAATTTCATAAGCGATGCATGCAAAACACAATCCGACGGTCTTAACTATATCTCAATGCTGGCCTAATGAGCTCTGCCAACGAAGTGCGAGGCTCAGACCTTCGTTAGCCATCTATTTTCCCACACAGCCCAGCGAATTTCTCTTCCCTAATTGGTTTTCTATTTTCGGACATTCAATTTCGGGCAATATTACGCATACGCAGCGTTGTCGCGCCGAATTCAATTGCAAGGCAAAAAGGTGGCGTGATTTGTTGGCTAGCATTAGCTGGGCTGTTCAAAAAAATCCCACAATGTATACTACGTATGTGTGTTCCTTAGAAAATCAGTGGAATTCATTAGAAATGCACTACCCGGCGCTATATCTCACAATAAACAGATGATGACGTTGGCGAAATTCCGAACGAACATCATTCATTATTAGCAGATAGAACTGAGTCATCTTAATAGCTTTTTCGACGCTTGGCCAACAAATGTGTGAGTAATTGTTATTGTTGTTAATAATGTTGTTCGGCTGTTTTGGTCGTCAATGACGTTAGCGATCAGGCCACCTTTTTTCCCATTAAACAAAAACTGAGCAGCTACAATAACAAGACACTCGTACTGAAGCATATCGAACGAGTTTACATCTCTTGCCAACATTTAAGAGCAGTTTCAATAGTTTCTCTTATGTTTTTTTCAACGTTCGAGAGCCATTTTTCTAAGTTCAGAGTTGACGATCCCCTTCAGCGAGTGCAAACTGTACTGTAAGGTATCCAAAGCGCTCACATGATTATACAATTATTTGTTGATTATTCTTTATCGTTGTGCCAAAGGTAACCATTTTTATCAGCGCATATGTTATCTTCACAGCAGTGGAAAAAGTCACACGAAATTATTATAATTATGAGATAATAGCTTATGATATAAAAACAAAGCAACTGCAATCTATGTTAATTGCTATTCTGACTCATCTAAACTATTTTATGCATCTCCTGCTAGACTAAAAATTAAAAATTGAAACTAGCTACGTAGCTATGACTCGATTAAAATAAAAATTTATTATTCTTCCGCTTTCTTTTGAATTCAATTTATGAGTAAGTATTTCTGCAAGAAAAACTATAAAAACGATTGATAGCAAAACATTACGTTGTATTGATAAGGCATTTGGAAAACCGTAGTACTCGTATATTTTATAGTTTGATAGTATAGATAGTATATATAGTATATATATACAGATAGTGCTGTTTAGTTTTTTTTTAAAGAATGTTATTTGTCTTATCTTAAGTGTCTGGGATTCGCTTACAGATAGCCAGATAACTAGCTTATCTAAGTCGTGACTAAAAATCGAATACGTATTAAACTCAAGGGTACAAACATTACAACCATTAGGTTGAAATGCAATACAGTAATAATAAAAAACATTACAATTAAAATGCGCGAATTGTTTGGAAAAATAATATAAAGTATTATACAGGCAAGCCATGAACTTAACAGATAATAGGTCTAATGCTTTTGTTAGCACCTAATTAAGTAGCAGACCCTTACTACCCTTGGTACTGAGCCTAAAATAGTAGGATTAAAGATTAACTACATGAACTTAAGCAAACAAAGTTTTAAGACACAATTAAGTAGGCACGACACAATAAGAACTTACTTTTACTAGACTTGCACAATTATTGGCTGTTTATTTTGCCAACCCATTTGGTAGCCCATCAAAGGTCCTCAAAAGGCTTGCAACTAGTCAGTAAAAAATAAACAGCCAACAAAATAATGATTAAAATCTTTGAACCCAGTCGTAACACAATGCTATCACTTTGAACTGCTGTTTAGGTGCAAAGTGCTCGCTATCAAAATTGGCTGGCTACATATTTTATCTTAACGGATACAAGTCGGTTAATTTGCGTAATGCCATGCTGTTATTGCGGTGTAGTTGACCATGGTCGACTCAGTGATTAATCACTGACTATTAATAGGTTTGCAGGCGTAATAAGATCAGGGGGAAGGGGCTTAGGCACAATCGCCGACAACCTTTTGGGCCATTAATAAAACATTTATATTGATTTGAACTCTGATTGACTTTTGCGCTGATTTCTGTTTATTATTTCGCCCTCTTGGCTAACCAAGACAGCCCTCCTGTCATGCCCTTTGCTGTCATTGAATTAATGGTGCGAGATTTTCATGTGAAATATACTCTTGATCAGTATTTTCTTTGCTGATTGATTCCTGCTCCAAGTAAAATAAAACTGTTCAATGAACTTCGCATTAAGCATTTAATTGGCCAGTTGCCTTCGCGTTGGACGGACATTCGTGATTCTGTCAATCAAATTGGCGGCTATTACACACGAGGCAGCTGCTCCATGTTTGCACTCTTTGTGGAGCATTCCGCAAATTATTGCCCCACTGATTTAATTTGTATTAAATAGGTGGCTGTGAGAATTGGGTGAAATGCCCTGGAAATAAATGCCTGGAAAGGAAAATGATAAGGCTCTCTGCAACACATCGAAGTGAATATCAAAGAAAATCGTGTTGGGTGTAACTTTTCTAGAAACTGATACTCAATGTTTTACTCCGATTTGCTTGAGTATTTACAATTTTTAAAGCGTGAAATTTCACAAGCAAAAGTCGTTAATTAAAACTACCTTCAGCATAAACAAAACTTTAGTTATTAAGACAATCGATTCAAATGCATCACTTACTTCCGCTTACTTACCTTTGTGAATATAAATAAACTTGCCGCACAGTTGAATACGATGAGGATGAATTAGAGAAAATAATTTGTGAGTGTCCATTTACCAATTACCAGCTATAAAATGCATTTCTGGAAGCGCGAAATAAATAGCTTGCAAAAAAGGAGCTGTATAAATTCCTTTTTGGTTTATAATCCAAGCTCTGTCAAATGAATTGGATGGGGCATTCTCTTTTAATATTTATTTCAATTAAGCTACTAAACGACTCACTTAAAATGCAAATTGCATTGCACATTTACATACAGATTTGTCTACAAAAGCAATTGCTATTTCTGAGCACCAAACAAGTGCAACCCTACACACACACATACACACACACACACAAACACGTACGACAGGAGCAAACAAAACTCTTTTCATAAATTCAAAATGTGTGCGCACATTTTTAATAATTTACGGGCACTAATACAAAATTTCTATCCAGCAAAAGAATGAAAAGCTGCATCTAAAGGCAGCAAGAAAATGAATGAATGAATGAAGAAAATGAAATGAAATGAATTTATTTTTTGGCAAACAAATACACATGCTTGCATAAGGAAAATGCAAAATGCATTCGCAAGTTTAAAGCAAGAGTTAAAAATACAATCAGCGGAAAAATTTGAGGCGATGGAAGTTGGAATTTGAAGCCAGCATGTCTTGATGTTCCCATGGTAATGAACCACTAACACACTCGTCAAATGCGTGTCTGAGTTCGAGTGTGTGTGTGTGTGTGCTGTCCTCCTGGACATGTGTGCGTGCCAAGGGCAATGCATGACAGGTCTGATTTCGTAATTAAATGCGTGTGCTTCAAAAGGAGTGGACCAATGTTAGCTAGGCTGCAAGTTCTATGCCAAAGTGGTTGTATATCTTCACATTTCAACGAAAAAGTGCATATCAAAAAGCCTTCAACTTAAATACCACAAAAATAACTCATACGACCAGTTGCCCAGCTTAACATTCTGTTAAGTGCCAGCAGACAGAATGTCATGGATAATTCTGGGAAAGGGGAAAAACCTAAGCTATTGTATTGTATCGGGAATACCTTATAATATGTCTTACACTTTAAGTTGTATCTACAGAATATAATCGAACTGAATCCTAAGTCCGTTGCCTACAATGTGGGTCCACTCTTAGGAGCTCCTGTGAGTGTGCGTGACTTTTTGGGTGAGCTCGTGCGTGATTTTGACGGTGCCTAAGCAATTGTCAATTTGTGTTAAATGCGCGCAATTAAACGGTAAATGCTACGCGGATAGACCGCCTCACACACACACGCACACCACGAGACACTTTGGCATAATGGCGTCACATTAACCAAAGTCTGTTGGCCTTAGAATATTTGCTATGCAGATACATATACGTGCATATGCTAATCGGTCCAAAGACAGAAAATGAAAGACAGATTAGGGCGGCCGAGTAAAATGTCAAGTGGCCCGTAAAACGATTGATGAAGCCATCGCATCCGAAACTTTCCAACTAGCTGCCATCAAATTCTCGCTTATTAATTTCCCCCCAAAAACTTTCTGCCTTTGGATTTGGGATCCTTTTGCGGTCTGCCACAAGAAGACAAGACCGCAGAAACACCCACTTGGCCACATTCATATACATAGACATGTGTAAGCCTCGCCCTTCGGCTGGATTTCATTATTTACAAGTTTTTGTTTATTGTCAAGTCTCGGCTTTCATTAAAAGGGTTTTAAGGCTTGTCAACAAACGCCTTTTCCCGTCCCTTTCGCGCCAGACCATCGCTATCTCACTTCCTCAGTGTGTGCTTAACGAGCCAAAGTTTTCAACTTAAATTTTAGTTATGAATTTTATTAGACCCTCCCATTGGGATGTGCCAACTCCAACCGCGGTCGCCGCCGTCTCCCATTTCCGTTTAATTATAGTCTGCGGCTAACCCGAGGATTTCAACTTAATTAATTAATATGCATTTGATTTTCCAGCGCTCGGTCTGACCAACTACTGCGATGAGAAGCAGTTCCAGTGCTCCACCGGCGAATGTATCCCCATACGGTTCATGTGCGATGGCTTCTCGGATTGCCCGGACCACAGCGATGAGCGGCTGGAGGAGTGCAAGTTCACAGGTGAGTGCACAGCGGGAAAAATCCCATTAGAATGTGGGAATAAATTACGCTGATTTACGCTGATTTAAGGCCAAATGGGTTTGTTAAATTCGCAAATTAGCGTTTAAGCACTGACTGGCTTTCAATTGTGCCAAAAGTATGTTGGGTATCTCTGCATAAATAGCATTTCTTTGAGTGTGTGAATCAATATCACTGGCATTTCTGAAATAACCTGTACATTTCAGTTGAGCTTCGGTTTTTTTGTTACGAGCACGGGGTCGAGTTCATCATGGCGCTTCCTGCATTCGTGCAAATAAATCACCCAAAATTCTATAGAGCTCTGCTGCCCTTGCCATTCTCGATTTCCATTCCATACAATTTTGATCTTTCCGGCTCTGATTAGGCCTTCAATTCAGCTGTTGTCTTATACAAATACACAAATACACTCGAAAGGTTGCACAGAACCACGCACTTGAAAGAAATCAACAGCCAAAGCCGCAAAATGTATTTGCAGCCCGATTTTTTTTTTTTGTCCAATTTTTCTGTATCTTTTGCTGCTGGAGCCGTTTCAAAAGGAAAGGAAGTTTTGCCCTGCTGTTGCTTTTTCGTCTTATTTACTTGCCTATATGTGTGTGGCCATGGCCGAGAACTGGACACGGAGTAACTACAAAGTCAAGCGCTGGCTCCGCAATTGGGTTTGCTATTGGGATTGGGATTTAAAGGATGGACGGAGGTCCTGGTCCTGAAAACCCAGCTGTTGCCTGCGAACTACGTGCGCTCTCGCTCTAATCTGTTGTCAGTCATTTGTAGTTTTTCAATTTAGAAATGTCACAGAACTAACCATTTACTTCGCTCTGCGTGTGCTGTTTGCCCTAGTATTGGTTTTGGTGTTTTGGTGTTTTTGTGCTTTTGGGCTTTTGTATGTTGGCCATTTGTTTGGCTTCGCTGTTGAGTAAGTAACAACTGGCTGTTTATTTAGTGTCATGTAGGCAGGACTAGAAATTCCCAAATCCCCGTGGCTCCCCGAGTTTATTTTCATTTAATTTTTACACTCTGCGTGTGTGTGCTGTGTTTTTTTTTTTTTCTCTTTTTTTATTAGCCACTCTACATTTAATTTAAGTTTGGTTAGCAGACCAGTCTGTTTCAATCCACGGTTGGTTGGTTTCGTTTGGCCTGGGGCTTCCCAAAAAATTTAACATTGCCTACTTTCGGGCAGCAGTGCTCAAACACTGCCAGCCGTAAATATTGGGCACGGACTTGGGTTTGGGGCTTAGTAGGCTGTAAGCACAGCAACCAGCTGAGCCGCAATTATATATAGTATAGAGGGTCTTATGTCGAGCACACGCCTGGTAAATTACCAACAACCCAGTTCCAGTTGCAGTTCCATTCGAGTTGAGTCTAATTGGAGGCACTGCACTCAAGTCAAGTGTAATTTAACTAAGCCATTGCATCAGCTTTGGGTGATAAACTGAACCAGCTCCCAAATCCTCAAGCCCAATGGATGTAATCACTCAAAGAATGAAAAGCTTACTGCAACTTGATTGCTTTAAGTATTCAATAAGTCATGTGGGCACAAAGTGTTTATCACCAACACAAATATGTAAATATTGTACAAATATTCTGATAAGCTGAATTTGTCAAGTTACTTGTCAATTCAAGTATAATTTTTCCTAATAAAATGCTAGTACACAGGAAAAAGTGTGCTTGTACATTTGTAATTGAAGGTATTTCCCACAATTTTTGCTTATAATAAATATTTCCAAACGATCGGTTTTTAGGTATTTATTTTATAACCTTAAAAAAAAATCAGTTCAATTAAAAGACGTTAAGCTTTTAATCAACCGCACAGTCGGGTACCCACAAATAATGCGTAGCCCACAACAAGGAAATCCAGATTAAACTTGACCCAAAACTTGTAATAAGTTCTATGCAAATGCAGTTCAGACGGATCTGTAGCTTATAATCGAGGAGAATACAGTAGACGAACCTTATCAGTGAACTTAGGCGTCGAAATATAGGCGTCGTTAGAAAGACTTGAGATTATTTATTAGTGGCATAGGGTCACTGGGTTTTCTTGTTTTGACAAATTTCAATAGAATTGCGCACATGAATATAGATTTTAGATTCATTTGGATTATACGGAAAATGCCTGCGAGTCCTAAACTCACTCATTTCCGAGTTATTTCTGAGTGAAAGCTTTGGCCGGGACTCTTATCAGTCCGTGTACAAGCTTCTGCCGCGGAGTCTGCGAAATACTGGATGCCACTACATCTGTTCAGCATCCGACGAGGACGAAACACAATTCAGTTTGCTTCGAGCTCTGCAAAGAAACGGACGTGTGTGCTCTGCGGCCAGGATAACTGAGATTTCAGGACTCCGAGGCGGCAAAATAAAAACAGTTCCGTAAAGGACAAGTCGGGAGGGATTTTAAATATAGTGTGCACAATTCGTCAAGTTCATAGTGATTTGCAAAGGCATACTTTTAGCAAATTAGATATTTAAACAAATTTACTTAAATAAATTTAAATAAACAGCAGTTGTCGGCCAGCAAAAATCAATGGCAAGGCCAAATTGTGCCGACAAACGGCAGCAGACAGATTGAAAACAGTTTGCTGGCGTCTCTTTGGCGGCAACATCAAAAGGCAGCAGCGCTCAAAGCAACAGCAGCTTTTCCTCCAAAACGCAAGCTTTTCCGCAGGATAACTCTCTCTGTGTGTGTGTGTTTCCTTTTCCGTTTTTTGTGTTTTTTTTCACGCTTCTGCGCGCCACTTTTTATTACATTTGTACTTGGACCTCTCTTTTTGGGCGCATCTCTTACAAACGCTCTTCATGGTCTGGCACAATTCTGTTGAGGTTCAGTCAAGATTTGTTTTGCATTGCATTGCATGAACTTGACACCGAACCCGAATGCACGCCCTTTCAACTGAAGAAGCATCTTGAATTGCAGTCCAGCTTAATCACAATTAATCTTCACACATCAAGCGCACTTTAATCTGTTATGATTGGTTTTAAACCTTATTAATTTATATTTCAAATTCCCAGTTGTGTGAGAGCTTGCGAGTGTCATAATTTTTATCGGCATATCAAAGGACGACATTGCTATTGAATACAAACACTCAACTCGGCATAATTCATTTTCCTTAAAAAAATTGTTATACGCGAGGATTATGTGAATTTCTGAAAGCGCAAACACATTAATAAAAATTCAACAAAAATTTGACAAGTAGACAAAAAAGTGGCTTAATCATGGCGTTAAATGCGTGGAAAAACTGTGAATACTGACAAAAACAAAAGGGGCAACATAAAACACAATTAATAACTTTGCCAGGTGAAAATACATGTATATGAAGTTCAAAATGTTGCACACTTTGATCAAATTTAACTATTCATCTTTAAAATGTAACAAAAAATAAAAAAAATAATTAAAATAGCTAAAACACGCGAAACAACCGCAATCCATTAAATAGTTAACCAAACCAAATTAACCAGTGGAATTGCACACAATATTTACAAATATTTAAAAGCAACTACTTCGATAGAAAAAAGTACATAAGTTTAGTGGCCACGACTGAGAGGAAAAACTTTAGTGACTTCGTTGAATATGAAACCAATTAAAATGACATTTTCGCCGAATAAATAAAATAAGCATATTATTCGTGAGCGGAATACAGTTGCTTGCTTTTGAGTTACTGCCACTGCTGTTGGCCATTCTGATGCTATGATGATGTTTCCGGTTGCCATTTTTGCTGGCAGACCACTTGACTGCCATTTAAAATAATTATGATTACACGTTCGCAACAGAGAGCCCAGTGCAAACATTCGCGCGACGACAAACCCGAATAAACAGTAATTTAATTTAATAATTCAGCGGAGCACTTAGGCAAGAACATTATCACACTGCCGTGCAGTGTACAGTAGAGCCTCCAAAGAACCAACATGGGACCAATACGCCACATCCTGGGCGCCTCCTTCCTGCTGCTCATCGCCGGATTAGTGCCGCACCACGCCTCCAGACTCGACGTAATGGGTATGATGGGAAAGTCTGTTATGGTTGTGGAACGATAATTCCCGCAAATCAGATTATCATTCAGAATGCGCTGGTTTTCCCTTACTGCTAGTTCTTTCATATACTTTTTAATGCCGATCTATAACGAACAAAGGGCAATCTCACTACAATATATCTCCTTAAACACTTCCTATGCCTTTGTGTAAAAATATTATTAATGTAGGATGCAGAGGCAAGGGGAAAGCCAATAAGCCTCCACTATTCAAGTATATCTTAAGGCTGACATTATTCCACTTGTCCATTATCTTAATAATGTAAATTCCCAATGAAGCTGAATGAATGAAACCCAATCGGGAAATGCTCGGTGCAAGTTTATCGCTATCAGGGCCAGTACCCATTAAGCGCTTCAAGTGAGTTTCAATTTACTGTTATTGTCCGTGCGCCGTAATCGTTGAGTGGGTGTTATCCCTTATGCATGGGCGTGGCACAGTGGGTGGGCGAAAATCGATGACAATTCCACGGAGATGACAAAAAATGACAAAAAAATGTCTTAGCAGGCCGTAAGTAAATAAATAACTAAACTGTGCATGGCCATTAACAACAGAGCTGATCTAAGACATTGGAGGAGCGCAAAGTGCCGCTTTCCCTTGGCGTTGCTCATACGCCGTGTTGCCCACATACACCGCATTACCCATACGCCGCGTAAACAGCGAGAGACAAAAGACGACAGACGCCGTAAAACGCTTCCCGACTTTTAAGCAGCTTTTATAGCATGTGGTGTGGATGCCACACATATTGGTCATGGGCATGCTAGTGCTCGATATCGGGAGCATAAATATTCATGCAGCACATTTGAAAAGAGGAGACAGCTGATAAGCCTGCCAGCCAGCCAGGGAAAAAATCGAAGAAAATAATGTGACGAAGCAGGAGCTGAACTCGTATATGTGTATTTTGTGTGCGCCGAGTGCGGTGCTTAGATAAGTTCACTCACATATCCTTGGCCTTGTTCCTTGCCCCCAATCCGTGTGCCTTTCCGAAAGCCATAAATTATGTATTCCGCACATTTTTAAGCGCAGCAATCCATCGAATTGGCTGGATCCTAAGTTGGCCAGGAATTCACAGAAATGGGAATTACGTTTCGAATACTTCACAGCGCAATCTATTCTTTTTTTGCATTCCGCGAATCAATTTGTTTGTGTCGCTTCCTGGAACAAGTTTACTTAACATATAAATGGGAAAGACATTTAAAGTGCGATTGCTCGGTCCAAAATTGTTCAACAATTGCCAAACCAAGTGTAACATAAACTTTGCCTCATTAGAGCGACTCGCAGCCTCTGTTCTGCGAATGATTTATGATGCCGACAGTGTCTCATGTAGACCAGACCAAAAGCAAACCCTTAGCTGCCCCATTTGACTGCTTTTTTTTCTGTTTTTTATTGAAATACTTGAGGCGAAGTACAACTTCAATAAAGTGGAAAAAGGTGCCATAAACAACGAGCGGCGAGCCTTTTTTTACGACACAACCCGCTGTGTGCGGAAGCAGATACTTCTCTAAACAACGGCCGAAAATAAATAAATAAAAAACCGGATGGGGAAAACAATTGTAAACAGTGAAAAAGGAAAATCCCCCTAACTGTGGCACAAATTTTTCATTTATTTATTGAGACGAGACAGGCGGAGAATGGACAGTGAGAGATGAGGGTCCGGTGGAGTTTTGGGGAAAAGTGAAATTCACTTTCGCATTTCTCGTATATTTTTTCTTTTCGCTTGCCTTCCGCCGTTTAAATGAATCGGACAATTCAATTTATGCTCTGCCAGACAGACAAACTTCATTAGGACATCTCCTTGCCAAGGAAACCAGGAATCAATAAAAGTAATTTCATGTTATATTTCTGTCTGTGCGGCTTTGTTTTTCTATGAACGTGCATATTAGATTTGAAAAGTGCTTAAGCTTAGCCAACTTAATTCATGCAAAATATATTTTTGCACAAAAAGGCAGCTGGAAAGGATATTGGAAAACGGCAAATACCAGAAAACTTTTAATGCGCCAAATCGATGAATGACCGCAAAAAACTTTTCCCCCATTTCCCGTGGACACTTCCCAAGTACAAGGCAACTTTTCTAGCACTAAGCTTTCGGCCCGTAAATGAGCTTGGGGACTGTTGTCCTGGAAGAGGAGCAGGCGAAGGACCTGCATTGTTAGCAAACTTTGTCGAGGTTAGTTCTCGGTGTCTGTATGGAAAGTTTCGATGTATTTGCTTTGGCCTAAGTCGACTGACTTTGTCACTTTTGTTGTCGCCAGTTGGGAACCTCAATTTGTGATAGCCCCCTCGTCCCTCGTCCCTCGTCCCGATGCCAAAGTGTTGCACGGGAGTGTCATAAATATTGGCGTGCATTCAAATTCGCCGCCAGGTGTGCCATTCATTATCGCACGTCGTATCGTCAGATTTTCACCTCTCGGCGAAAGGACCTTAAATGAATTGCACAATCTGCAGTATCGGGGGCATCGGGGGTATCGGATGGCCGCGTACGCCCATGCTAAGGGGAATTAAGAGCCTGTCTGGCAATAACACCACACTTTCCCGCCCACTTGTAACACCCCGAATATCCCATACCCATTGCCCCACGATGTCGCGACGCGGCAGACTGTAAATAATGAAGTTTGCATCTGGGTGGCAAGTGGCAAAGCAGCTGCGAAAAGTGCTTTTAGGCACAGGAACAAAAAATGCACACATTTAGTTTGATATATGTACATAAGCCAACAAACTTTTGGCCAAAGATCACCAGCGACAATTTGCATAAAAGCAAGGGAAAACATGTAGAAAGCATAAAATAACCTACGATTTATTTTCTTTATTTTTTATCTGTTATCCATTTTCTCACCGTGTAACAAAGCAAAACAAATTGCTCGTGCGAAATGTCTATTTGTGCATTAGCTCAGAATAATGTCCTTAATTCCGTGTGTAATACTCTGGCGATGACAGAATATTTGTGGTTTCATAAATAAATCATTGAGATGTATACATTTAGCATGAAAGACTTGTACAAAAATCAGAAAGGCACTTAAATTAACACTACGCCAGACAAGAATTTGATAACAAATATTCAATCATTCCCTTTGACCCCCGTTGATGCGTTAGCTCATTAAGCCCAGACTAAATCAAACCGAAACCAGACTATAAGCCAACCAGACCCCGGGAAACTAATCCCCCATCCAAACCCATTTTAATGTTCTTTTTTGGCGCTAAATGCCGCTGTCTAGGTAAATACGCCCCAGAACGTTTTCGCCATTCCAGCTCACTGTTTCCATTTCCCAGTCTCGCAGTTTCCCAGTTTCGCAGTTTTCCCCGATCCCCGATCCCCAAACGCAAAACGCAAAACGTGATGCGCATTTTTCGCACTGCGGCGGCTGTATGTCTGAGTCCCCTGGGTTTTGGCTTCCACATTGGGCGGGGCTTTCGGTTTGGGGCTAAATGGGGACTACTACAGCTTGTGCCGGAGTTTGTACTGCCACAAAAGTTGCGCTTAAGTTTATGGCAAGCGAATCCCGGGCGAGTGGGGGAAAACTTCACCCAGCGGAGCAGCCAGGGATCCCCTTAAAGTCATGTCAAACCAAATGCAGATGTCATTCAGAGGAATTCGCTTGTATTAAGCGCCAAATTGTCTGCACTCTGGCAGAAGCTCACAAAAGGTGCAAAGTAGAGGAAATGCCAGACACAAGCAGTAAACATTTAAAATGTTTAATATTTTTGCACAGAAATAAGCTAATCATGTAAAATGATATTCCAAGTTTAAGAAACAGATAACTTCTTCAAGCAGTAGCATGCATCACATTCGCCTGTCAATTGGTTAACAAGCCAAGCCTAACTTGATCAGCAATCCTTTTATCTCCTAATTGCATTACCATCACTCAGCCAGCCACACAAATTGTTTTCCTAGCACCAAAGCATCCTGAAATAATAGGAATATCCTTTGGCCCTTTGAAAGTAACATCTAAACGAGCAAAGTCATAAAATAAAGTATGCATAAAATGGCAGAAAACTATTTCCACTAAAGCATAAAACAAAAGCTGAATCGGAAGCCGCAGGAACATAAAAATCACATTTATTTTTGACACACTTAACCATTCGAGCATTAAAAGTTTGAAAGCCCTGCTCTGCATAAATGTTTAGATACATTTATGTATATGCATAGATATATTTATGGGAATGGGGGAATATTCTATCGCAGCCATTATCTCCAGCAGTTATGTAAAATTGATTTCAAACGTTTACCCTTGCAGAATCGACTTGCAGCCAGGACCAATTCCGGTGTGGCAACGGAAAGTGCATTACAAACAGATGGGTCTGCGATCGGGAAAACGACTGCGCCGATGGAAGCGACGAAGCGATGTCCCTGTGCCGTAAGTGTTCAGCCATTATCTTTGATATACACAGTAGATATCGGCTATAGGCGATTGAAAACGTGATTGAATCGGTACACTTTTGGCCGAATTGAATCAGAGTTCAAATGGTTTTTATAGTGCACTTCCCTGTGGAAGTGTCAACTCTTAAGATTAATTTTTTGAAATCCCAATAACCGAAAATACTTGCATGACAATGTGCACAGTGGGCCTTTGTGCCTATACCATGGTGATGTGTAATAATGGTGAGCAATGTGTACACCGGGAATTCATGTGCGATGGCGACGAGGACTGTCGCGACGGATCCGACGAGTGGAATTGTGGCAGTAAGCTAAGAAGAATGAATTATTCCATCCCACATTTGCATACTAACCGGAGGATTTGTCCATCACTAAAACGAGCAAGAACGAAAAGGCAGAGTCACTTAATCGAAATTTAAATGCTTGGAAGACCTCTGGGATCTGGGATCTCGAAAGGACTTTATGACTTTGGGACTGGGACTGACCAGGCCATAAATTAATGTCACTTCTTGCGGACAATATCGCGACGTGACCATCGGCGGAACTAATTTGTATTTATGCATTAGGCCCACTTTGACTCACTTTTCCGTTTTGGGCGTAGTTTCGGCTTTTCACTCACTTTATTTCTCGCATTTTTCTTGCCGCCGAGTAACTTGCTTAGTGGTTTATTGTCTGTGACACAATTTTCCAACTACATAAAGAGAGTGCCGGGCGAAGGATAGCAGGGAAAATGTTTTTATGTCGTACGGAATTTCAGCGCTGTAATTGAAAAAATGATGCGATTTTTATGATGTTATCCTTGATGAAAATAAAAACCGGTAATCAAAAGCCGAACGCAGCGCCAAATTGAGCCTGTGGTTTATACGCGGGGGGAGTCGTGGTTCAGTGGTCGGCTACCAGGATGTACACTGCTGGCCAAAATACTAGCACTCCCAGTTATTTCCATTCATATTTTAACAAATAAATGTTGTTCTATATTAAATTTCCAAAACGTAATCAGCTTGGTAGTATAAAATTAAAATTAAAATATAGCTTATATTTTTCTGACTTCCACACTGTTGCGCTGATCACAACTGTGTGTTGTGTGAGCATTAAGCTTCGTCTGCTCATGTGAATGGATGTGTGTGCCTTTTTATGACTTTTATGTGCTTTAAAATTGTCATCAAACCCTGTTGACATTTCTGCTTTTACCCAGTTACCCTTGTGAATCTTAATTTAACTCGCTTTTCGGGGACAAAAATGTTCAGCTCACTGCTGCGGATTTCTCTCTACAGAAGTGTTCTTTTCAGTTATGGTGCCCGCCCCGTTTATTTAATTCCATTTAACACTCCGCTCGGACTCTTCATTTCTTTGTTTACCATTATGGGAAAAGCTTGGCTGCCCATCTCGCAAAGGGGCCCAAGGGGGGTGGGGATAGCCGAACAATAAACAAAACGCAAACTGCCCCACAAAGGCATTAAGCTTCATTGGCTTTCAAGTGCCCGAGAGCTGAAGGCGGCGATGGGGGCGTGGCCACTGCACTGGGCCAGGACATGTCTTGTACATGGTCTAAAAAGCATTTTAAATAAAATTAAAATCAAATTGCAAGTATATGGGTTTTGGCGTCAGATAACAAGAAAATGCTATTGAATACAATGCCAAAGTTCTGCCAGGATGTGTGTGCGTTGAGGAAGGAGATCCAGAGCGGAGCATCCTTGGCGGTCCATTGACTGTGACCCCACGATAGCAAATTGATTCTGCCAGGACTCACAAAAGCCCATTGGAAGCCAAGTTGGAAGCTGTGTCCCTATGGACACACGAGAATGAAACGTCCATTCAGCCAAGTAGTTACCTTCGAATGGAAAGTTCCATATATACTTACGTACATATAGTTATGTGGAAGGACCCCAGGCGAATATTTTCCTCACCAGCAATGGAGAATTTAATGAAGCCATAAATTATGGTGGGCGAAATGATATTGGATAATTGAATTTATATCAGGCGCACGGTGAACGGGGCAAACGAAATCATCGAAAAGTATTTTCAACTGAATATGAACGATGCTTAACAGAAAATGATTTTAATTATGGAAAATGTAAGAGAAAGTCAACTTATCCCATAATTGTGAGGAAACCATATTCCCTGAAATGTAATTCACTGGACACCCGATGGAGCAATTATAAAATAAAGCTAGAAGTGCTGCTATGGAATACATGAATTTAAAGGACATTTAAATAGACCAATTACAACGAATACATTTACGAGAAATATAGCTATAACATAACTTAAAATTAAATGGCAATTTTTTTATTTATTAAAGGAATATATATAAAAACAAAAATGACCCTAAGGTGGTTAAATATTTTCGAGGCATGCTAGCAATTTCAGTAAATATTCAGCAGCGAACGACGAGTAATTTCAGTAAGCTGGTCACAGTAAATTCCAATTACAAGCATATCACGCATACGACCCGTGGTACATGCTAAGCAGCCGCCAAAAATGGCGAATACCAAGAAGAGAATAATAATAAATTAATTTATTTGCAACGATGTCAGAAATTTCCGCCGTACGCAGTGCACGTGTAAACGGTAAACAAATAGACGGGATGAAGGCAGGAAAACGGAGGGAAGGAAACTAAGGAAGGCGGAGGTAGACAAAACGCCAAAAAGCATATTCAAATGTGTGGCTCAGCCATGAGATTTTATTGCCAACGCACACACACACACACACAGAGTAACCGCGGCGCTGTATGTACATAATCATATCAGGGGAAATCACTCTCACACACACGCACACACGGCGTGAAACAAAGGACCGTGTGGTAGGCAATGAAAGAGAGAAAGAAGGCGAAAGAAAGCACAAAAGCGAGGCGCCAAGAACTGGCATACTAATACGCATTAAGGGTTAAACACAAGCGTTTTAATGCGCCAGTGTGTGTGCGTGTCTGTGAGTCTATGTGGCTGTGTGGGAGTGTTGTCAGCTTTGTTTAATGTCCGTTCCTTTGGCAAGGATAACTTCAATGGAACTTTCAGAGTGTGAGTGTGTGCGATAATTGCTTTAATGCATACGCATGTGTGCGTTTTAACTTTATGGAGTGTTGGCTGATAATGTCTTAATTACTGCCTAGATAAAATGCCAACTGTTTAGCCCCCGAATGGCTGTTGGTTGTGACAGTGTGGTGTATGTGTGTGTGTGTGTGTTGGCATGACAACTATGTTTATCACTTGGAGCCCAAATCGCTTGCTGCCCCACCCCCTCTTATACGGCAGCTGCTTATAAACTTAATTACAGGACATCCCTCGCTTGCCTTTAAGGAGCGTTTCCTATCTCAGCAAGACCAAGTCCCATTAGCTAGACAGTTAGTGGGCTTTTTTCCGGGGTCCTTTATGACTACAACCTTGAGGGAGGTACTCTGGATTTTGTTTCATGTTTCAGCCGCCATGGCTGGCATTATTTAATTTTCTTTAATAATAACAAAATATATTCTTAAAAATATCAATTCTTAATTTTCCTTTTCTAGCAATTGCTTACGTATGAACAAAATACCCAACTGGCTTACTCGTTGTAGCTGTGTATTAAAGCGTTGGCACTCAAAACGAATTTTTCCTTGATCTCGATCTTTTTAGGAAGCTTAACATGCTCGCCCGAGCAGTTTGCCTGCAAGTCGGGCGAGGGCGAGTGCATTCCCTTGTCCTGGATGTGCGATCAGGCCAAAGATTGTCGCGATGGAAGCGATGAGGCGCAGTGCAGTAAGCCAAAACCAAATATTTCTTAGCTCTCCCTAGCCTGCTTTGCTTGGTGTTGGATAATAATAACTGAAATTATTGTAGAACTTTCCCTGCTTTGGTGTTGGTTGCTATTTATATCTAGATACTACAATGCACTTTTCCCTGCACTTGAATGTGCCATGAGCACATGTCCCTGAGACTTGTGTTGTGTCCTGGCGAAGCTCGTATGCAATAATGCACAAATATTTACGCACACACAGAGGGAAACACTTTGGTTTTCTGTGTGTGCGCTATTTCTGTTGTTGTCACATCCCCTACCTCCCCCTTTTCTATATGCTTTCTTAGTTTGTCGGCAATCTTTTGTAATGGTGTAGGCTTTTCCACATCCCATCCATACGCCCACTAACCACAATCACCAAATCCTCCCCCGAAATGCCATAGTGAATTAAGCTAATCATTGGCGTCATTGGCAGATATGACGTGTCGCTCCGACGAGTTCACCTGCGGCAATGGACGCTGCATCCAGAACCGCTTCAAGTGCGACGATGACGACGACTGCGGCGACGGATCGGATGAGAAGAACTGCGGGGACAAGCTCAAGTGCCAAGCCCATGAGTTCACTTGCAATAGTGGCATGTGCATTCCCAATCAATGGGTTTGCGATGGAGAAGCAGACTGCAGGAATGGCGAGGATGAGATGGTGAGTAGACTAAACCAAAACACACACTTGTATTTTGAGCCAATCTTCAAGTTAACAAAAACAAGTTAGGAATAAAATGAGCATGCAAGATATTTATTTTTCCGTGTAAGGCCCGAAAATCTTTTCCCTCACCTTCAACGTGCAATGAAAATTGATATGAGCACATTATCAAACCACATACACACAAACAGAGATAGATGGCAAGTTGTTTAACAGCCCTCGCATATAAATATGTATTTATATGGAGCAAGCTAGGAAGCATAAATTATGCAAGACGCGAGCATTATTCAAAACTGGCAACGACGACGAGGACCATGTCGGCAACTGTTTCCCATAAACATTTATATGTATGACGCATGGCTTTTGTTGTCCGTTGGGTGGTGCCCGAAATTGCATGGCTCCGAATAGCAATAAAAACAGTGCAGAAACTGTCCAAGCAGATCGTAAAAGAATACTCTTTTCCACATATACTGAGTATATATTTTATAATAATTTTTAAAGCAAAAAATCGTATTAAATATCTTAACCTGTTTAATTGTTCTGACAATAGATAAAAAAATGTTAAAATGCTATAAGCTGCATCACAGAAATATTACACATAATCGAAACACTACACAATAACCTTTAAAAATGCCTTTAATTAAATTTGTAAAAATAAACTGGCTATTTACACACAAGTACTCCTTTTCAAAGCGTATAAAATGTGGAAAATGCTTTCTGGCATCTCCTAAAAGTATGCAGTACAAAAAATGCAGGCAATGGCCACAGGGTCCTCTATATAAGTGTGCATGTACGTATGCTCGCGTGTGTGTGTGTGTGTGTGTGTGCGTGCTGGTGCATAAGGGCTTTGCGTGTGCGAGTGTGTGTTTGTGAGCCGGGCTTAGCTGCCTGAATATTTGGTTGGCACTTAACAAGAAAAGCAAACTGTTGTAGCAGCAGTAAAGTTAACTTCCTTTATCCTCGCCACGGGTAGAGATTCATCCTTTAAGGCGATGTCTTGCCTGTGGAAGGGACGACCTTGTGCAAAGCTTAGCATTAAGCGCTGACTTTTAACTAAATGACATATTTATAATATCATTTTTTATCTTTTTAGCATAACTGCACCGTCGATAAATTTAACTTCTGCCAAAGTCATGAGTTCCAGTGCTCGGATAGGATCACCTGCCTGGAAAAATCCTGGGTTTGCGATGGCGACCCAGACTGTCCCGATGGCGAGGACGAGTTGCCCCCTAACTGCGTTAAATTGGCCTGTCGTCCGGATCAGTTCCAGTGCGACGATCACACCTGCATCTCCGGCTTTCTGACCTGCAACGGAGACAGGGACTGTGCGGATGGCAGTGATGAGAAAGACTGCAACATCGCTGCGGCGCCGAAGACTTGCAATGCCACCAGCGAATTCGACTGCGGCGGTGGCCTGTGCATCGCGAATGCCAAAGTATGCGATCGCAGGAAGGACTGTCCGAATGGCGAGGACGAGCCGGCTGGAAAGTGTGGCATCAACGAGTGTTCGCTGAAGAATGGCGGCTGCATGCACAGGTGTGTGAATCTGGAGGTGGGCTACCGCTGCGAGTGCAACGAGGGCTACAAGCTGGATGCCGATCAACACACCTGTGTGGACATCGATGAGTGCCAGACTCCTGGCATTTGCTCCCAGGTATGTGTCAACGAGATCGGAGCCTTCAAGTGCGAGTGCGAGGCGGGCTACATGAGAATACTGAAGAATCACACCAGGTGCAAGGCCGGCGAGGGACATGCCTCGCTGCTTTTGGCCCGGCGACATGACATCCGGAAAATAGCACTGGATCGACCGGAAATGACCTCCATAGTGAATAGTACAAAGTCAGCCACCGCTCTCGATTTTGTGTTCCGCACGGGAATGATCTTCTGGAGCGATGTGACCACTCAGAAAATCTACAAGGCGCCCATTGATGAGGGTAATGACAAAACGGTGGTGCTGACAAAGTCATCGGTGACCTCGGATGGCCTGGCTGTGGACTGGATCTACAACCATGTCTACTTCACGGACACCCACAAGTGCACCATCGAGCTGACCAACTTCGAGGGCAGCATGGGCAAGGTGCTGGTGAAGGACTCCCTGGACATTCCGCGCTCCATTGCCTTGGATCCCATCGAGGGCTGGATGTACTGGTCCGACTGGGGCGCCTCTCCCCGCATCGAAAGGGCGGGCATGGATGGCTCCCACCGCACTGCCATCATCACCTACGATGTTAAGTGGCCAAACGGCATCACATTGGACCTGGTTCAAAAGCGCCTGTACTGGGTGGATGGCAAGTTGAACACCATCTCGTCGGCGAATTACGATGGCTCGCAAAGGCAGCAGGTTCTCTACTCCACCGACTATCTGAAACATCCCTTCTCGATCACCACCTTCGAGGACTACGTCTACTGGACCGACTGGGACAAGCAGGCCGTCTTCAAGGCGAACAAGTTCAACGGATTGGATGTGGAGCCCGTCACAGCGACGCATATGGTATGTGTATTTCCCCATTTTTTTGGGGAATTTTTCAAGTCTAAGTAAGCAAGAAAAAATGCTTAGTTTTGACAGCACATTTCCTGTTAAATGTAATACAATCTATTGACATGTGACCTTAAATATGTAAATGTTATCACATCGTCACTTGGTACCATGCATAAATAATCCAAATAGATGGGAATTAACATGTTACGCAGCATTTGGTTTTCTTATCTGAGCTAGTGCCATGTACCAAACAGAAATTCATTATTTATAAGTAATTTATAGTTTATAGTTATAAGTAATATTTTTGTAAATATTTTTGAAACAGGAAAATGCCAAGATGTAGCGCATTTGGAATATTTATATTCAGGTTTCTCTAAAAAGTACTGGTACCTTCTCTATTCCTAGGTGGAACATCCCATGGTGGTGCACGTGTACCATCCGTATCGCCAACCAGACGGCGTCAACCACTGCCAGTCGGTCAATGGCCACTGCTCCCATCTCTGCCTGCCAGCTCCCAGGATTACCGAGCGGAGTCCTCGCATATCCTGCGCCTGTCCGACGGGCCTAAAACTGATGCCCGATGGGCTGATGTGCGTCGAAGATCGTAAGTAGATTTCACTGTGTCCTTTGGGAATTTCACGGCGGATTTCGTAATTGCATTTGAAAATTCCGCTGCGATGGCAACGTTTTGCGGTTCATCAGGCCAACGGTGAAAACGCTTTCCCGCTGCGGTTGCGGCCTTTTAAGCGGCCATCTGCGTTGCGCATTTCATTGAATTGAATTTCCACCTTTTCGGATTTCATTATACCCATGAAATAACCTTTTGTTTGTAGTGCGTATCCCAATTGTGCATCCCACTGCACCGATGCACCGGACTATCGTACAGTTGTCCAACTCAACCACGAAACTACCTCAAGATGGGTACAGTGAAACGCCGGGTATGCAACACTTTTCTACGAAACTTTTGGTGTTGGTTGCCTAGGGTCGTCAAAATTCCCATAAAGTAAATTTAAATTTAAACAAAGCCAAGAAAGGTTACTCATAAAAATGACTATAATTTATATTATTGGAATTTACGAAGCCTGCGAGTTATGAAGGGATAGATTTTGGTGTCGGTTTTATCTAAGCTGCTCTGTTTCATGTCCTCATGTGATGATTTGTCCCTGTGAGCATAATTTTCACCTGTGTTTTTCCATGTTTTAATTTCATTTGACATTTTCTGCGACCATTTCTCGAACAACACTCACGGGTACATATATACAGCCATCGTCATCATCATAAATCAACATCAATGATATCGACGTAATCACTCAAAATGCACACGCCCACACGCACACATGAACTTTAACCCCAATACACATGCAAAATGCGGAGCGTAAAACATAAATATCGGGCACACACACACAGTGCAAAAACCACAAAAGGGAAGCATTGGTGACATGTTTAATGGCAACAGAACCACCCACCGATTCTCTCCGCCGACTCAAATCCAGCACAGCACTTGGCCGAGCTCGGGAATCTGGAGCTCCCAGACCCAGACCCAGACCCAGACCCAAACCCAGACCCAGACCCGGATCCGGGCGAATTTCTCGGTGCAATTTGCGAACTGCTCCCTGACAGCAATGACATGGACTCGGATGGGAACGGAACGGAGCGGAGCGGAAGCGAATGATGAACGACTGACAACCGCAAAGGCAGCAGGACAGTATGGTGGAATGGCAGCATTTCAGCGGCAGTCGTCAACAAATCGCCATGAAATTAAATTGTACATAAGCAAGAGCAAGCGAAACACGAACGCATGCGGATTGATATGGTGCATGGCAAATAGTTTAACCAGAAATTCGTCATCCCCACTGCTATCATCCTCAGCCTCATCCCCATCATCCCCATCATCATCATCATACCGATTCTGATCCTGCCAGCAAATTGGCACTGTCAACACCTCGAACTGTCGACATTGGGCAGAAATGTTTTCGTTGGCCGTGTGGCAAAAGTGAGTTACAACCCAACTAGCCTGCGGTTTATCCCTTAAAATATGTCCCACCACAAGGACCGTTTCACTTCGCCATTTCATCGCCAATGTGGGTTTGTGTGCTCGTTTTGTTTGTTGCTATTGAGTTGGATTAGAAGGCTGGGGTCCTTTTGCTAAACGCCATATCATTATTTTTAACAATCCCGCATTTAGCAGACGCACTTTGATCACTGGCGAATGCAAAATTAAAAACGGGCCCAGCGGCACGAAATAAGATATTTTGCCATAGCAACCAGATATTTTTCTTATTTTTCGTGCAACAAATAAGGCCAATAAAGGGTATGTTACTCTGGCTCCTCGGGCACTGAAAAGATACTTGAATGTTTAACGAGATCAAATATGCGCTCTTGTTATTTTTCGAAATATTCTATTAAGCAGCTTTTTTTCATTTTTTTTTTAAGAGAGAAATTCCTTATGCAATTAGAATAGTAAATCAGTTGCCCACAGAAGAAATGAAACAAATCCCCTGCTTTCTGAGCTCCATTTTAAATCTCACCCGTTGCCAGTCGTTATCCTCTTTCGTTTTCCTGCCGGCTTAGAAGTGAAAAGTGGCCAAACTTCCGGGAGCTTTAAAACGTTGTCATGCCTACGGGATGAAATCAAGTTTCCTGGAAGTGCTTAGCGAGAAGCCCACACAATTGCGCCTAATTACGCCAATTTGAAGAAGTCATAGTGGCGCTCCTTGCAGATGGGCCAAGACGGGGTTGAAGGTCGCGGAATCTGCGCTCTTCTTGGCCAGCAGATGAAAAAGCTGCAACACATTTGCGGCCAAAGAATGGCGACAAAGAGGGCTTAAGCAAAGTTGGGAGAGTTTGGCGAGAGGCGCGGGTCAGTAAATAACTATAAACTAGTTAGGGACTATTTCAATTAGATGGTCCAGTCCGGCATAACTGCAATTTCAATTAGCGGTTTGTGCTACTTTTTCTATGGCCATCTTTGCCCACTTCAAATTGCTTAATTAAGCGCAGGCAAAGTTTCGCAAATACCCCACAGAGTCCAAGAGAGACATGCTCTGTGCGTATCCACGGAGCATCCAGGGCAGCGAAATGCCAGGGTGAAATCCAGATGGACAGAGTACCCCCCAGTAACCATAAACTTTGAGCCGTCGAAGTAACGACTGCGTTTTTAATGGCCGGCCACAGCAGAGCGGGAAAATCGGGGAAAATGCGAGCAAAACTGGGTGAACAGCTGCTGCTCCTTGCAGCATTTTATGACTTTCATTTGCTTGCACTTCGGTCAGTCCAGTCCGGTCAGGCAATTGTTATTGTGCGCCTCTAACTTTACTGCATATTGCCTCCTAACTGAAGACAATGCGAATGGTAACAGGAAAGCCGCCATTTTGTTTATTTGCATGCCACACCATTTTTGACTTTTCCGGTTGTTTCCGGTTTTCTCTCCCCCTGTTCGAAACTTTGAAACTTTTTTTCATTTGGTTTATCTAATCTGTTTACAACCCCTCTCGGATACCCAAAACAGGTGACGGAACATATTTTATGCGTTTTTATTTCATTTGGGAGGTGAAATGATGGCACGGCAGCCATTTTGTCGTACTTTTTATGGCATTTCCGGTGGCGGGGGATTTAGGGGCTTCGGGTTTTCCGGGTGTTCCGGGTGTTCCGGGTTTTCCGAGCACCTGCTATGCGTTATCCTCAGTTGGAGTTGCGAAATAAATATGAGAGCACATGTGTGGGATTATAAAAATGGGCGATGAGGCATAACTCACTCTTATACATGTATGTGTGCATGTTTTCAGTTCGGTGTGTGTGTGGGAGGCAGGGAAATTGCATTTTGTATAGATTAGAAGTAAGCAATCATATATGACATTTATAGGCAAGCATTAAGCCAGTCGTTAGAGAAATGGATGCTATATACCGAAGAGAAAATGGAAAGTTTCCTGTAGAAAAATAAATGAATCTCCTTGAAATGGGTCAAACAATTGAGGTATACGAATTCCATACATGCATTTTAGCATAAAATATTTTAATTAAACTCTTTTAAGGCAAAACAGAAATTCAAATAAGAGGACTGAGTAAATTCTAAATGCTCCCGAAAAATATAATACACATTTAATTCACCGGAATTAATTGATAAGTTAGTTATAACAAAGCACCATTGCTCCTCCCAAGAATTTCGCTGAGGCCAATAAAAAAAATTATAAAGAAGCCAGAAAAAGTTTTAAAAAAATGATAAAGCAACAGCTGCTGGCAATTTCATGGCGCCTTCGCCACAAAAGAGATAAACAACCACACACTTAAGCCGAGGGAAAATCGCGCAATTAATATGCCACAGCGACGTGCAACTTTTCAGATGTTTGCCCTGCCATTTGACTGTCTGTTAATGCCAGCAAAATAAATTTGCAGCTTCTTAACGCGCCTACGCCGAAATTCGCAGCGAATCGATGCCGCACAGCTGTTGCCGCTATCAACTTTTAATAATAATTCCCTGCCACACGCTCTCGAGCGAATCAGAAAGTCCTCCTTGCGGACACTCGTAGCGCAGAAATTAATATCAACAGCAAAAGTGGGTATCCTTGGGATTTTTACGATTGGTGGGGGATGGGTAAAACTTTGGTGGCCTCTTAAAAAGCGACGCATATCCTTTTGCCAGGCGAACGCGCGCGACTCTGGCGCTTAACTTTGTGCGCTTTTTTCTGCTGTTGAACAAATTCTAAACGGAAAAATATGAAAACGAATTATGATGACAGCGGAAAAATCCTACAACTTCCTGCCAGAACAACAGCGTAAGGCAAAAGGCACCGACTAAAAGCGCACAGCAGCTGACAGCAAAACCAGCGAAACCCCGACAGCGGAAACATTCGCCACGGGATGTAGTCGTCGTCGTCGTCCTCCTCTCCTTTCCCTATTGCTCCACAAACTCACAAAAAGACAACATTTTAATTATATTTGGCCATAGGAATTATCAAATTATGGGTAAAAGCTGAAGAGCTGCGGCAGGCATATTTTATTAATATTTTGCGAGAGTGCCTTTGATATTGGAATTTGTGAAATGTTCGCGGAAGTTCAAATTTTCATCATTAATTGGTGGTAATGGTTTCATTTTTGGCAACGTCTTTTCAAATTTTGGAATCTCTGAAATTCATACTACTTACATGCTTGTGTATATCTGGTTCTCTATGTTTATAGCTCTCATTTTCTATTGTTTGACTCTCAATTATAATTTATTATTATATTGCCAACAATTGCAGAAAGTACTGGCAGCAATAGCACAGAGCCATCTCACGAGGTCCACAAACCTGATACGAAATCAGAAAATAATTACGGACAAATAGCCTTGATTGTGATAGCCAGTTTAGCGGCCAACGCCTTGCTGGGATGGGTAAGTACTTTCAAATAGTTACAATCAGCAGACTAATACTAAATAATTATGCAACTAACAGGTCATCTTCTTCGAGTACCGACGCTGCACCCGCGCCGGCAACTCGATGAACTTCGAGAATCCCGTCTACCACAAGACCACGGAGGACCACTTCAGTCTGGAGAAGAATGTGAAGCCACACATGTACGCCGCTGCCGTGGAGGAGGAGGTAAGCGGGTCGGCCCCACCGATGGCCACGAATCCTAACGACTTTAGCTATGTCAGGTTCTAGGAGGTGTGCTAGGCAGCTAGTTGCTAAGTTAATGTTGTACATAGGTGGTTTAAGTGGTCGTATCATAGTTGTATCTAGTGTTAAGTGAGTTGATGCAAATAAGTTAGGCATAAGTCCCGCAATTGTTGTGAACGTAGCCAAGTTTTCCAATTTGTAATCCACTTTAAACAATTCGTTTTTCCCCCAATTACTTTAATCTGAAATGCCGCGAGTGAAACGAAACCGCAGTCCCAATTTAGATATTAAAAATGGTAAGTTGTGGCTATGAAATCCATATAGGAACATTATTGGCGTATTGTATTACATAATTACTGTCTCGTGTGCACAATTTAATTATCATTTTATTGGCCTTTAATTTAATTTCATTTACCGTCGATTTGAGCATGGTGGCCCGCTTTGAAATGCCTGCTCTTTGAATATTCTGCCCGTGGGTCTCGCTAATTGCAGAGCTGCAAATGCAATCAAAATATGCATATCAATTGGCCAATTAACTAAAAGGCCAATTAAATGGCGTCAGTGGAGCGTCAAAATGTCCCACAGCCCGACAGCTGGCCAACTAAAATATAAAGCGACTCAATTTGGCAGGACATTTTAGTGAAATGTTTCAATTAAATTAGCGTTTTTTGTGTTCACCTTGACGCATTTTTGCAGCTGCTTCGCTGCCAATTTTAATTAAAGCGGTTAATTAATAAATAAAAATAAGACAAATCCAAGCGGAAACCGACAACAATGCATAACAATAATTACGCAAAATTAAACAAAATGGCATTAAGAGAGATTTTCTGTGTGCCTGGCCACCTAACCAATAAATAACATCAAAATTTGCATATAAGCAAGCAATTTTGGTGGCTGCAAATTCACCAGCCACAAGCTTAGCGGTCGGCTGTTTTCATTAAGGTTTATAATTAAAGTGTTCGGGGTAAATCTCTTTTTATTGCCATTTAGTGGTGATTATCGGTTGGCAAAAAGTTTTTACAAAAAGCGGTTATTTTAAAACGAACTAATACGATTATTTTGATTTATTTATTCGATTTTTCGATAAGCGGAGATTATCTTTGTTTTTTAAGTACTCAACATTGCTGATAGATTTATATTTCCATAGTCTTTTTATAGTGTTTAGTTTTATCCATATATCAGACCTGTATAAAAAAAGAGTTCTTTTGAATTAATATTTATTTGATTTTTTTTGCCCAATTGTTTATGTTTGCTTGATACAAACACAAATTATTTAGACTTTAATAACTAGCTATTCTCTTTTAACCCCATTTAGGCCAACAACCCCCTCTTTCAACCTGGCACCGCATGTGTTTAGGGCAACGCCAAAGACCATTTTAAATGCATATCCAGCTAATACTGGCCGGCTGACAGCGAACATCCACAAAGCATCTCCTACTAGTAATTCCTTGTTGGACCAAGGCCCAAAAACTGAACTATTGAGTGCAAGTTTGATGTGAGAAATGAAAGAAGAATATGAAGCTTATGTGTAAACGTAAGAAATGAAGAATGCCAAAAAAGAAAATAGAAAAGACAAGTACGATGTCAGCATGGGGAAATTGAAAATACTCAACAAATTCAATTTGTTGCCTAGTTTAAAATTTAATTTAAATGTAACAACACTAAGCACACCCACACATATACACTAAACACACACACTCACGCCCATAAACTAATAACAACGTAAAACTTTTCTAGGCGCAACGTTTTGACATCAACTAACGTCGCACCCACACCCACACACACACACAAACACAGACATCAGCGCATATCCTTCCACCCTCACACACACAGACACACGCACACACGCACACACACACAGAAGCCCAGAAGAACTCAGAGAAGGAACGAGCCAGGATTCAGAGCCAGAAGTCCAACTTTCCTTTCACGTCCATGAAATCAATTGTAAAAAGTTAAGACATTTCGTTGAAGTTTTGGTACCAAAAGAAACATTTTGTGAAATCGAAAAAAAAAATATAGGGATAATAGCTAAACTGAAACTGTTTATAGTCCCAACAGTTATTGTATAGTATATTTTTTGTTATCATGGAATTAATAAAAAGCAGTTATTATCTTGAAAGTAAAATCTTTAGCACCAAGTTGGATTCCTGTTTAGCAAAATATTTGAACAAAACCCCACTGTAAATATATAAAACGAGAAATAACTAAAATATTTAGACAAAATTTATAAAAAAAAATAACATTTTTAGGGTACTTTTGAAATTTTATTACCTACACACGTTGCTCCTTTTTCTTTCTTGGGTATTCAAAACAATTTGCTGTGATCAGTTTAAAGGCATTAAACCTGCATTAAATCATCTTATTTGTAGTGTTTTTACTATTCTTCTCATTTATTTAGTGTGTAAACAAGCTTTCAATCACTATAACTTATTTACAAGTTTTACAAAACAACAAACAATTTTAATGTGTATTGGCAATTTTTGGTTCCTGTAAAATGTATTTTAATTTAGGCATGTAAAGTATTTGCTTTAATGCTTTCTTGAAACAAAATATTAGCTAACTATAAATGGTATGTGTGAAAATTTGAATAAAGAAGTTTATAGTAACAAAAACTGAAGCATATAGAATATTTTAAATTAAAGTTTATTCATAGAAATAAAATGGAATTTGAAAACATAAAACATACGACTCTATTTTATCAATCAGCTCCCAAACGGCAAGATACCGGATTTCTGCATAAGCTATGACTTCACGGGCTCACAAATCATCTGACTACGATTATCAATCAACGGCATTCGATTAGTTTAACTGCATCATCATGATGATTGTCGCACCGAATATCACACAAGCCAGTACCGTGAAGCCAAACGTGTTTACACACTGAGCCTGATTGCCCGAACTTAATAGCCGCAATGCCGACACACAGTTTTGACTTTTGCTGGCTCACAAGCACACACACACACACACACACAGACACACACATGGACACGCAGCCATGAATTATTAAATGCTAATGGACAACTACGGCAATTATTTCACATGAGTGGGCATCAATACGTAATGAGCTACGTCCGGCGACAGATTCGGTTCGAAGTCTGAGATCGAACAGTCGTCAATGGGTGGCTTTTGGCTGCTTTTCGGTCGGGATAATCGCCAGGTTTTAATTTGATTCCTAATCCCGCTTATCGAGACCGCCCCATGTACACATACATATATGTATGTATTTAACAGGCTCCAACTTTTGTTTGCCTAATTTATGGCTGGGCATTATCGGTGGGGGGAAAAGTGCGACGCAGCGATTTCCGGCGAATAAATAAGAGTTTTATGCCTCTCGGGGTGTCCTTAATGTTATAATTTATGTAGCGCCCTGGCAAGCAGTACGACATTATTTTCGTTTATTGCCTGCCGGACAGCCGGCTGTCAGCGAAACGTTGGCATATTGTGAGCGGATTTCGGCAGTCGCATCGATTTGAATCGATTAACGTGGTGCACGGCTCACGTTTGCCATGAAAATAAAATGTAAATAAAAGGCGACAGGCACTGCGACAGCGACGGCGACACATTTGACACACGGCACCGATAACTTTTTCAATTTAGATATGATCCCGAAAGTATGTCGCAAAACGGCTGGGATAATCCCGGATCCAACGGCCAGGTGGTATGGCTGCTTTCCATTAGCAATATGCGGCCAAAACCAAATGGCAAAACACTGTTCCTTGGCGCCGTGCAGCTCCCCAGCTTTCCCAGTTTCCCAGTTTCGCCAGCAAAGTGAAATCAACGAGGTGGGGGAAACACCCCTTTTGCACATAAAGGCGCACGGAATAAGCGACTCGGTGTGTGCGAGTGTGTGTGTGCTTGGGGGCGCAGGGTGCCAAAGGATGAAAATCTGCAATTCAGCCGGAACATAGCATACATTTTGTCGTTTTGCCAGCCGCAGGCGGCCACCAAACAAAACTCCACACAACCCGCTCAAAGTCGTGCACTGAAAGAAACGAGTACTAACTGTTATACCCTAACTAAGTGGTTTGATGTATTTCAAGATTAGACATACTCGTGCCGCATTTGGCTACGTGTATTTTCGAAAAGCCAATGAGCCTCGGCAGTTGGACAAAAGAAATAGAACGAGAAAACGTGGCCAGAATGGTGTGTGGCTCGAAGGGATGTGGATGAGGACGAGGATGATGAGGATGTGCATATGGAGTGGGATGCGGGTGGTGCAGTGCAGCTGAGCGACAACTTTGTGCAACTCCTGATGCAGGAAACATGGCTGTCATTGGTCACGGCGACGCCACTGTACTTTGTTAGCGATGCGCATCCAACGATAACTTTCCCTCTCGGTGTCATTTATGTCCTTATTTCCCCCTTTTTTTTTGACTGCCTCTTGGGCTTGTGTCCTTTGTCAAATAAAACTGGAAATGCAATTGCGTCGCTCGTTAGAAATTGATGTCTAAAATGGTTCTTTCATGAAAGCCTGGCTCGCGGTGTTCATGGTAACAGTTTTCGGCTTAAAGCTGTTCAATTAAGTAATTACAACGTAAGGCATTAGGTGTTCCACCTTAGAGCCTGCCAAATAAGGATCTCAGTTGTGCTGCTCTTGCAGCGACTGTACCTGTGTCCCTATGCGGTTATCGTGAGTGGCAACTGGGGGAACTTTAATTACAGGCCAACTCCACTGGCCACCAGCCCAGCGATGCCATTGCAGGCGCAAGGACCTCGCCATGTTTGCACATCCTTGCAGTTGTAGTTGTTGCTGTTGACGCTGCTGTCGTTGTTGTTATTATTGCCAGTTTATCCCTGGGGCCAATTGCATGGCACATGCACACAAGGTTAGTAGGCAAGTTCACAAGCCAAATATGCTGTGCGTATGCCATGGAATGTGGATGGTGGTGCTGCAGTGGGTGCTGCAGGCGCGCTTTCCATGAGCAGGGGGCTAAGGTGGACGAGCTGGAGGTGGAGATGGAGGTGGAGCTGAATGCACCACTGTAGCCAGTGCGTCTTACACGCAGCAGGACGTTGTTGGCTTGTCGGTCGAGTTGTTTGCACCACGTCCTGAATAATGGATACGTTTCGTGCCACATTGAATGGCCAGCTGTGAGTGACATTGGCCGCCGACTACGGGTTTTTCGGGGGCATGTTTTCGGAATTGTTAATGTAATTACGCCTGAGAGCCCTGCGCTGCCACCTTTCATGGGGCGCCTAATCAAAGGCAAGTCGATAAGCATGTGGGAGTTTAAAATGGAGCCTGACAATTTGCCTAATTGCCGTGCGAGAAACCCAGCTAATCAACTGACGAATTCCATTGCTTGCGAGTTTTCCGCAAATAACTTTTCAGTCGGTTGTTGAACATGAATAAAATTCATCAACTTCAAGCGAGAAAATAAAAAAAATGGATAAACTTAGAACAGAAGACAACAGAAGGACAACGGGAGGCTGTAAGCCGCTTTTGTTTGCCATGATAAAATGGCTACAAAATGGCGGCAGCTGACTTAGCACTGTGTGTGAGTGTGTGTTTATTTTTGTGTCTGTATGTGTGGGTGTGTGTGTGTGTGTGTGTGGTGGGAGTGCATATGGCACACACTCGAATCCCGTGTCCTTTGGCCTTGGCGCAAAACTGTCGTCTGTCTTCTGCTCTGCGTGTGTGGCTTAAATTTCACTTTTTTATTCGCTGCCCTGGAAAAGTTGTGCGATTTTCTTCCCTGACCTTGTACCGGGTAAAATTACTTTCGCGCAAAGGTTGCCGCTCGCTGCAGGGAACATGAAAATTGATGCTGCATCACAACGTAGGAAAAGTTATTATGGGCGAAAAAAAAACTAGTTAATGTGTGGAAGCAAGCAAACTTCGGCCA